CATGGGTCAGTTTTTTAGCATCACACAGCATGAGGAACTTTCTCGTCGCAGTGATGTGCATCACAGATACAGTCGCTGTTCCCACCACTAGCGACTACAGGTGAATCAGTGCGAGCACAAAAATAGGATGTTGAACTGTCTACCATGCACTAGTGATTACACATGTATCTGCATGAACACAAGCTTAGAAAAGGATGTTACAGTATCTACTGATGCACTTGTGAATATGCGTGCATCAGTGCGAGCACAAGCTAAAAACAGGATATTGAAGTATCTTGTGATGCACTAGTGATTACACATGTATCAGCATGATCATAAGCTAAGAACAGAATGTTAAAGGAACTGTTGTAATTATCACCCATAATGCCAATATTGAACTGACCATATTTGAATTTGAATGTGTCTGCAAATAATATATTGACTGCCGATATATCATCCAGTTTATTTTAAATAAAGACCGCATTGATATGGAAATTGTGATGATGTCGAAATCCAATATTTTGCATGTACATATCCGGCGGTAACAACACATACGTTCATATATTTATAAGTGCAGAACCTGAGACTGCATCTATCTGGATTTTCAATACCGAGAGAAATAACAAATTCTTGAGGGTTACAATTGCTGTAGAATGAGTAATATGCAGATATTTTAGTGTAGTATCCCAGGGTCGCCAAAAGGTTCTGCCCTTCTGGAGTAGAATAAATAGGTCATCAAATATGTGTGAAAGATCAGTTAAATCTAAACATCTGTCCAGTGCAGATATTTTTGTTTTGAAGCAGATATCTACCAACACTGATATGATTCCTATGTGCATGTCTTCTTTAAATCTTGAATAAGGGACACCAGCTCACATGATAACGAAATGTTTTTTCATTATCATGTGAGATTTCAAACGCAATTTTTCCGCTACCCAAAACAGAGCCCATCAAATCTTTAGTTTAGCACTGGAACTATGAGATTAATGTAACCAACAAGAAGCTGGAATCTTACAGTGCACCAATTAGCATTGTGCAAACTGCACGCCTGCATTAAACACTTGCCTCAAACCACTTCATATTGTTAAGTAAAAGTGGACAAAAGTGTCACATAGCTAACAACAATAGTAGATAAATGCAGATTTCTGCATTTAAGGCCCCTTTTTACTACATAAATTGTGTTTTTTGTTTTTGTTGTGGTTTAATGCTCTTCAGTTCTAATGATAGTGGTTACTGCTGTTTTGAATGATGCTTCCTTTATACCCACCTAAATCTAAGCAGATTACTGGCAGTGTGCTGATGCTGACTGTGATCATCAGTTGTTGTGTGGCGATGTTGTGGATTCTGAGTGAGAAAGCATGCAAATGTATTCTGAGAATTGCATGTGTTTTGGGCACATTTAGCTGCAGGTTTCTCCAGAGCGTCGTCGTTTGTCATTGAGCACAGTGACGTGGGGGGTACTCTCAGTACGCCTGAGGCTGATCGTCCTGCTTCAGAAATAGCCGCCATGTTGGCCTCCTTCCCAGGCGAGCTCCCCAGGAATTCTGGGAAAGGCGGTGTGTTTTTGAGAGCGTTTCTGTAAATAGGGAGTGGAAGAGAAATGTATCAATTGGGATTTTGAAAAACACAGCCCCCTTTATGTGCAGTGCAGTGTGCGTGTAATTAACTGCACTGCGAGTGGAAGTATTTAGCCGTGGTTGCCATGGAGACTCGGCATAAAGGTGCTCGGGGGTCAGTTCAGCAGGGTCATGTAATTGTGCGAAAACTGAAATGTAGACACCCGAACACAAAGGCTAATACTCTGTTTGCACTCTGGTGCTGTTTCACCAGCCACCTTCTAGATTAATTCATCTATTGGGGTTTTTTTCATTCCTAATTTAAATATTTCTGCTATTGTTTTATTCCCTTTTTGTTGTTTTTGTTACAAACGCGTTTACTGTGTGAAAACAACATATCCCAGCTCTGTATTTGTAGACACACACACACACACACACACACACACACACACACACAGACAGACACACACACACAAGCCTCAGGCTGGTTATGTGGTTTTACTCTCTCTCTGCTCCTCCAGGTCTGATGATGCTGTACCTGTTGTAGCTCCTAGAGGTAGTAAAGGATCAGAGCCAGTACAGAATGTGTGTGTGTGTGTGTGTATACGTGTATACACTATATATATATTATATATATATATATATATATATATATATATATATATATATATATCATATACACACACACACACACACACACACACACACACACACACACACACACACACACACAACCCTCTCACCCCCGCTTTCTTTTCTTGCTCCCATACTCTAACTCACTCACACATACGTGTGCATTCCTGTCACAGTCTCTTTCCTCTGTAGGCTGGATGGTGTGTTGTGCTGCCTCAGAAGCGCCCGGGGCGAGCACTAATTAGACTGATATGGCGCTGCTGCATGTATGAAAGAGCAGATACGTACAATTTTCACTTATTATTCTTTTGAAATGAATAATACATATACTTCTGCTGTGGATGAGTTAGTGTAACAAATCAGCAGTGGAGTGGTATTCTACTAGTAACCTTTTAATGTCCTTTAGGGGGCAGTGTGCTAGTGATGCTTTTTGTATTCTTTATCTTTTCTAATTCTGCGGGTGTTCTGATGAGTCAAGGGATTCATGATATACAACAAAAATAGATTTATAACTAAATTATTTTGATAAGAACATTGCAGACCAGTCTTTAAAGGAATGGCTTGCCAAAAATCTGATTTTGACCTGATCAAATTCCGATTCTTTATTTTAGCGCTGAATGTATGAGGCTAAAATTGCTAACAAACACTGACCTTCATATAACATATAACAAAACTTCACAGTGTAGCTGAATGCAGTAGGAAGACAGGTCTTGTGCCGAATTTCAGATCTCCTTTGCTCGCAGATTATGGACTGTGGTTTCTTTTTACAAATAACTGTTAATCCTGAATTTTCAAGATATACGTTTATTAATAAAACAACAGAAACCATGACTGTAATGTAGCATCCCTTTGCTAGCATGACTTGTTTGCACACGAAGGGGCATCAGGTTCTGCAGAGATTTCAGAATTTGGCCTAAAGTCTAAAGTTGGCTGCCTGTTGCGATTAGCTGCACAGTGAAGTTTTTTTCATTTTTATTGTTCACAATAAGTCATACTGTGTCCTAAACCACATTGACAGATTAGTTTTTTCACCCTGCAATTCCTTTAACATTGTCATGTTATTGATTCACTAATGCATTTTAACATATTGCAACTGTGACATGCTTTGCAATATATAACACAGTGGTAGTGTTTTGTCTGTATTGTGCAGTGCTAGTAGACGGCAGTGCTGGTGGGTTTGGATTGAAGTGCTCAGGTAATCCTCAGTGCAACAGCAGCATGGAAGACATCACTCAGTCTCGCTCATTCATATTCTAGTACATTAACAGCAGGATCCGTCTGAGAGATAGACAGCTGGTGTGTGGGTGTGTGTGTGTGTGTGCGCTCACTCATACGCCTTGTTTGTTCTTTTTTTTGTTTTTTTCCCCTCTTGCCTGTGACAAAATGGACTCTGTCCTGTTGTGAGTGTGTGTGAGTGTGTGTGAGTGTGTGTGAGTGTGTGTGAGTGTGTGTGAGTGTGTGTGTGAGTGTGTGTGAGTGTGCGTGTGTGCGCACTTGAGCCCACCTGTTATGAAAGTTTCATGGCTGTTACTAATTTTAGGTGAGGGGGATTCTGAATACCGTTAATGTCAGCCGATAAAATTCTGTATTTATATTTTAGATTTTAATTTTAAGGTTCCAGTAGTTTTAGTTAAACAGTGCTTTAAGTGACAGATATGATTGGCAGTTCTCAATTGTCACATTTATTAATAATCACATTTACTCACTAAACAGCAGAAATTGCAGCACTGAGCGTGGGGCAACCCAGAGTGTGTTTCACTCTTGGTTTCGGTGCATCAACTCCTGTTGTTCTCTCTCAGTAGTTCTCTTTGTTAAAAAGAAGAAACTGTGTTATGTCATAAACATCACAATATATTTTATTATAGTTAAACAGAGAACATTCTGGCTCTTTTCAATGAGACGACTCGGCTCACACACACAACAAAAGCTCGTTCAATAGCACTGACGTTTTTTTGTTCCCCAAATTAACCAAGTTAGTGATATTATCTATTATTCACTTATCCGTCATTTAACTTCCAAGAAAACCTTCATTCACCTTTTAAATTATAAAGAAAAATGAAGAGCTAAAGAAGCACATTTGGAAACACAACAAGCAGCTATTTCAAAATGGACAGGCAGTGTAAGAATAGGGCTAGTAGGCAAAACCGACGCTGGAGTCAGCAACACCATTGCAACCCAGTTAATAGTGAATTGTGTATGTGGGTGACATTGAGCTGTGTGTGTGTCTGTGTGTGTGTGAGAGCACGGTCACATAACCTTCACCCCCACATGGACTCCAGTAATTGATGAATGATTTTCCACCTGATAAATAACTGTCCAGTCTTTTAACCTTTCGGCTTCTTGGCTGTGCTTTCGCCATCGTTTAAGCCTGTGTGTGTGTGTGTGTGTGTGTGTGTTAGTGTGTGTTAGTGTGAGTAAGTGTGAAGGACCCATCTGTGACGCGACCGCTGCCTTGAGCTGGGATCACATGTGGCAGAGAAATGACTCTCTGTCTCTTTGATATGGAAAACACCTATATATCTTCTCAAGGCATCTGCGCTCACTGCGTGTGTGTCTCTCCCAGCTGTGTGCAGATTAAGGTGTGTGTGTGTTTGTGTTTGATGGATAAAGCCTATCCACACACAAACACTCGCTGCAAATCTGGTTGGCTTCTGTGAGCAGGTGTCACTCACAGCTCATTACCCCCCAAAACCTGATCAGTCTGTTAGGGGAGAGGAACACGCCTGACGAGAGAGCGAGATGTGAGGCGAGAGGTGTGGGCCAAGATTAAGAATAAAGTCGTTAAGAAACAGTTTTAAGGTGTTCTTATGTTTTTTGTTTGTGTTCATGCAGATATGACTACCGTGAAATGCTCCACAACTCCACCTTCTGTCTGGTTCCACGAGGACGGCGCCTGGGCTCCTTTCGCTTCCTGGAGGCTCTGCAGGTGAGCTGGCACAGCACCTCTCTCTCTCTTTCTCTCTCTCTCTCTCTCTCCCTCCCTCTTTCTCTTTCAGATGATTGATTGCCTGAGTGCTGCTGAGCTGAACCTCAGGCCGCTCTGTGTTCTGGCTGAGGCTTTAGCGGACTCTGAGTAGTAGACCCTCATTCCACCGCATGCACATACACCTCAGCCTAAGCAGCTACTCGCCCCTCTCATCCTTTTCTCCTCTCACCTCTCCACGACTCTTTAAAGGATACGCTGATTAGCTGTCTGCCGGAACATTTTTATTAACTCCAGCGCTCGTTCCTGAACTATGCTTATTGCTTTTTTTTTTACATGTCTGTTTATCTGTCTGCCTGTTTGTTTGTCTACCTACCTGTCTATCTGTGAGTGTGAATATGAATATTTTGTAGCTCATGATGTTGATTTTAAGCAACTTACAATATCATTCTAGACTGTATACTTCAGTAGTTTTAGTTAAACAGTGCTTTACTGACATATATGATTGTCTGTTTTTAATTATTACATGTATTAAAGTGAAATAAACCACGGTAACTCAGTGTTAAATAACATAAATATTGTAGCACTAAGTCAGAGCTACCTATAGTTCTTTGTGGTTCTTTACTATTCAATAAGATTATATTTATCATTATCATGATAAATTACTTCACAGAGTGTCACAGTATGCTTTTCTGTAGATATCATCAGCACTTCTAGGAAACTAAACAACTCCAGTATTGTTACAGTCACGTTTAATTGGATTTAGTGCAGTGCAGTATGTGAAACGTGGAATAAAAATCAGTGTTTTTGACGGTCATTTTTAAATGGCACTGGCCTTTTCATTTTCTGTTCCAACTTATCAGATATCAGAAAAAGATAAATATCATGTATCATGAAAATTTCTTGAAGTATTGTGATATTGTGTTTTTGCCGTATTGCCCAACCATAGAATATCATTTAATACCTATTTGGTGAATCAGTGATTCTCTGTGTTAAATTAAGTGTGCTTTTGGTTAATTTGAACAAATCCATGCGATGGCTGGAGACATCAACGAGAAATCTGGAACCAAACTTTGTGTTTGTTTAACAAACTCCCATTTTAACTACTTTTACAAGAGTTTCTTGTTACTTTTTACAGCATTTATACTGTTTATTTGCATTCATTCTAATGTTATATAGAGGTTTTACTGGGAAAGACACACTTTATGCTGAGTTGAATAGCCTAAAACTTTCCACAGTACAGTACATATATCTCTCCATCTCCTTCCCCCTCTCTCTCTGCCTCTCTGCAGTAGGTGTGTGTATCTTTAGGAGTTCTTATTTGAGTCATTATCAGTAATGTGGTCAGTGTGTGCTCTTTGGCCATGCAGAATCTGCTCTAATTAAATTCAGCAGAATGCACTGTAGTTTAATAGATGCCCTTTATGTTCTCCTGCTTCTTGTAATACATCCAGTCGTGGCCTGATTTGTATAGCCATTTAATGAAAGCACTCTCTGAGTGGCACATGGCCATGACCTTTTTGTGTGTGTGTGTGTGCGTGTGCGTGTGCGTGTGCGTGTGCGTGTGCGTGTGCGTGTGCGTGTGTGTGTGTGTGTATGTGTGTGTGCGCAGGCTGCCTGTGTGCCCGTCATGCTGAGTAACGGTTGGGAGCTTCCCTTCTCTGAGGTCATCGACTGGAACACAGGCGCTGTGATAGGAGACGAGAGGCTCCTGCTGCAGGTTAGAAATTTTACTCTCTCTCTTTTCTTGCTCTCTCTCTCTCTCTGGGTCTCACCCTCCCTCCACACTCTCTCTCTCTCTCTCTCTCTCTCTCTTGCTCACCTTTCTCTTATTTTCTCTTTTGTTCTCTTTTGTTCTCTTTTGTTACTCTTTTCTCTCTATCATTGCTGTTTTTCACCCTTTCACTCTGCCTTGCAGTTCACTTTGGTGGATGTTGAGGTTTATTTCTGAAGATTTTAATTATTATATAGGTCAGGTTTTAGCTTTTTAGCTTTAATGATGATGGTGTCCATTTGGTGTAATTCACTGATATGTAGCAATCAAAATGGGCATATTTAATACAATTTCTCAGTTTCAACATTTGATGTGTTGTCTTTGTACTATTATCAATTAAATATAGGGTTTACATAATTCGCACATCTGTTTTTATTTACATTTTGCACAGCATCCCAACTTTTTTGGAAACGGGGTTGTACACAAGCACTAACCTCTCGCATTTACCTCTCACCTAAATCCACAGCAGTTCCTCTATTGCTGTCCTCTGTTCTCCTATTCCTCCCCCTCTTGTTCACATATTGACTACATATTGTATTGTGATCTATTAGAGTACTTGCTTTCAGCAATGTGATGGTTCTGTTCTGTTCTGTTCTCCTCTCTTCATCCTCTAGATCCCCTCCACAGTGCGCTCCATCCATCAAGATAAGATTTTGGCTCTGAGGCAGCAGACACAGTTCCTGTGGGAGGCCTACTTCTCATCAGTGGAGAAGATTGTACTCACCACTCTGGAAGTGAGTGATGAGTGCTCAGCCTTTCTTTTTCACACGCTCAAGCATGCATTCACTGACCTTTCTGATGCGCACACGCACACAATTACACAACATAATACTGATTCGCAGGAAGCCACTTCATTAGACTTGTGTTCATATCAATCAGGATACCAAAGAAGACACTTTGAACATGATAAAAACTGCAAACTGAACAATAACGGCACTGTTACAAGTTACAGGTCACACTGTATGTGAAAATGGCAGTAAAATTTTGGCCAAGTTCTGCACACACTGTTTGATGTTCATGTTGATATATGTCTGTTTATATTTCAAAGATTGAAAGATGGCATGCTACTTGAGGCACCATCAGTGTCACCAGTGTCAGAAATAGCTAGGGGAAAAGGGTCAAGAAAGCTCTATATTCAACATGCATGCTCCTTCAAACACATGTACTGGTGTGCCTAAAACACTATGAATGCAATACATGTGTGTATTTTTAAATGCTTAAACTAAACACTAAACCTAACACATTCTCATTTATTTAAAATGTATTCATATGTATTTTGCCGTAATTTTAAATGTGTCTGAATTTCAGTCAATAAGGGCAAAAATTGAACCTTCAGAATAATTATTTTCTAACTCACTTGTATCGGGCATGCAAAAATATTAAAGCTCCAGTGCCTATGGTTTATGTTTGTGTAACTGAATGGCTGGTAAACAGAGACTGGCTGAGAACTTCTCACAGACTTGGTATAGCCTGATGAAAACCAAACCACAGCATGAGCTAAATCTCCTAGCAGTACTGTTGATTGCCAAGCCTTTAGACGTTGTAGAAACAGATATTCCCTCACGGTTAACAAAGCATAATAACATTACAGTGTAAAGACCCTATCTGGGAGTGAAAACAGTCCAGCTAATTTCTGTTAAGCTCTTAGAACACCTAAAGGTAATTGTTCTCCCTTTCTGTCCCCCACAAATTGTTAGATTCAAGCCCTATTAGTGATAAAAGGGAAGTAAGTGATGCTGTTAACTGTCATTTTCTCCCTGCGTGCCATCTCATTGGTAAGATCAATGCTCAGGGTGCTTCAGGGTTGACTAAGAATGTAATTGATTCCGCAAGCTGGTGTCTCAAGGCAGCCTGCCTGGCCATCGCGCTCCTCTGTTCTCTGTTTACCATCGTGGATGTGTTTGATGCTGTAACTTGATATTAACATTTAAGAAAAAAGGAGCTTATAACGGCTTCCAGATCTCTCTCATAGACTTCAGTGGATAACAGCTCATAAACATCACTAATGGAGTCTCGCAGGGCTCCATACTCGGTCCAGTTGTATTGTATATGTTACTGACTTTTAAAATGTTAAAATACAGTCAGCCTCATACAAAAACACTTTCAGGACCATAGATTGGTCCTAAATGATGAAAAGGCCAAAAAATTTGCATGCTGTTCTACCACGCTCTCATAGTATGAGTGTTCCTATTTCCATATTATACACTGGGGATGATATACAGCACAGTGTATATTATAATTGGTTTCAAAGTTTCTCATCAGTCTGATGGTTTCACTCTATCCAATTTAGAATTAGCTTTTATCAAGTCATTGCTTTGATAATCACTCAACAGAAGGCAAGAGCAGGTCATGCTAAATAAGTCAGGGTGGCTCTGATATGTTTGTGGAACTGAGAAATAGAGACAGAGGAAGCGATTAGCAAATGATTTTAATTCAATCAGAGATAAGGGCACTTTGGTTTCTGCTGCTTTCATATAGAATTAAAGGCCTTTCTTTTTGACTGAATCAGATCTGTGTACTCAGATAGCAGTATAAACTCCGTCTCATATCCCATGCGTAATTGCTTTTTCATATGCTCAGGCAACGTTCAGCCAACCACTGGGCTTTACTGCTCTGAAGTGGTTACAGGCAACCAATCACGGCCATCCGGCTGTTCACCAAGGACAGGGTCGTTGTCAGCTTCCCAGAGCTGCGGGGTCGTAGCCATAACCACGGCCATCCGAACTGTTGTTTTTATTTATCGTGCTCCATTGTTAGATTGCAACTGTTCCGCCACAAAATTGAATCGTCAATCACGTGCCTTCAGGTCCCGCCAGAACCTGTAGGCATGCGACTTTCTATCCAGGCAAGAGAAACAGCCTTTCAGCCCTTTCTTCAGATTGCATTTTTAAGATGACAAGTGCTTTTATTGTGAGGGCAAAAGGAGTACGAGTTAATCTTTTCAGCTGAGTCAAATGGTTATTGACTGGCCTCGGGGGGGCCAAGAAAACAGGGGCGGGGGGGGGGAGAACACTGAAATGAGCTTTTTCCACCCGTTTTGCCACCTCAGATGAAATTTTATGCCCCCTTTTTGTCAGTTGTATTACAAAGCGCCTCGGGGCTAGCATTAAGAATCCACAACAAACACACAATTGCTGAGCCATCCAGCTCCCTATCAGAAGCGATTCCACAGTTGCCAACGATTACACTGTCACTGCGCCAGCTTGCCGTCTCACCCAGGGGCACAATATAAACGGCAAAAACTATCGCTTCAATCTATGTCTCTTTTTACCGCGGCTATTCGCTGTTAAGGGCCCTACTCAAGGCCACTGAAGCCGTAGCTCCTCTGAACGCCAGCAGCAACTGGCTGGCGCAGACAGAGACCTGGGCGTACAGCGTCTGGTTGTTTATAGAGCCAGGGCTGCACTGCGCTTGACATTTCAATTAGACGTGTTAGAGTGAAGCCTCTACACGTTTATTATTGTACGTTTCACCAATTTATTCAGCTAAAGTCAATTCTATTTATCCGGTTTCAGGATAGTGACAGAGTAATTAACTGTAATTCTCTTCTTACTGAGTCTTTTAAAGCCTGATGTAAATGCAGCTCCAGGCTGAGTTAATGGTTCTCTTTGCCTGTAACTGTAGATCATTCAGGACCGGGTCCTCCAGCACACGGCCCGCAGCAGTCTGATGTGGAACAGCCATCCTGGAGGGCTCTTCACCCTGCCCCAGTACTCTTCCTACCTGGGGGACTTCCCCTTTTACTACGCTGGACTTGGTAAGTCTCTTTGTAGGTCGTAGATTTCGATAGGTGTTTGACTTATGCAAACATTCGGTGTCAGAGTTGTTGGTGTTAAGGGTTAGTGTTGTGTTAAGAGAATGGTTCAGTGAAATGTTAATTTGCACAGTTTTAACCGACACCTTACCCCACATATAATCGATCTGCCAAGACATGTTCGGAGTTCAGTGACGCTTTATTTTGAGTGGTCCTGTTTAGATGAAACACTCAACGGACTGTAACATGTCAAAAACATATGAGGGTTAGGATTAGGTTTTGGGTTGAGGTTAAGGTTAGGGTTAGGATTAGGGCCAGGGTTAGGGTTAGGTTTTGTGTAAGGTTAGGTTTTGCATAATAGAAGTAATATATTAATAACACATCTGTTTAAAGTAACTAACGTATCAACAGTACAGCAACAAGATATTTACTTCAATGTATTCAGATGCTTCACTACTGCTACTTCACTAATATGTTGTTGATGTGTTACTGATATTTTATTTTAGAACTGGAACAGCAAGGTTAGCATTGTAAACAAACACTAGAACTCAGTTGCCGCCCAAAAAGCCCCAATCATCTCTGTAAAAATGCATAACCAAAGCTTCTTTTACTCCAAGTCTAAAATAAAATTTGGATTTTAAACATTGTCTACATCTGGGGTAAGTGGAAAATGAGGTACATTTTTATTTTTCACAGAATTGTTCCATTAAGTGCCAGTATTGTGTAATTAAGCATCAGTATCATGTTATTAAGGGCCAGTATTGTGATACTTTGGGCCAATGTTATGTTACACTTGTTAATGCCAGAATACAGCTCTCCTTGACTCCTTGAAGAGAGTTTACGAACAAAACATTTAGAACATAGCCTTCCTCCAGTCCAGCTGTACATACTCTGGAGCGTTTTAGTTCAATGTTACAGCATGATGAATATGCATGAACAGTTACATGCATTTCATGGTATTATTAGACTTTTCATAGTGGAATAATGCTATGGCTCGATTATAGATCATACATAGTGTTACCTACATCATGCCCTTTTTTCTTCTCGTTTTGTCTCCTTTGTTATTTTTGAACTTCCCTTCCTTGTGCTTCTTAATTAGTAGAGAAGATGAGGCGCTCAGGTATGGCCATTTCCAAATTTAGACACATAGCTAAGTGATGGCCTATTGTGTGATGTGATAGATTATTGAATTGGCCAGAGTAATTGGATGGCAAAATCCATATTTGCAGGCTGGAGTCATACATCGCTGCTGTTGCTAATGCACCCACGCATGCCTCTATCTTAATCTGCAGTACTTGTCACCGCAATCAATAAAAGGCTCTTGATTGAGCACCTCTTGTTAGTGTTAAAATTAAAAAAAGAAAAAAACCTGCTTTAACAAACATGAATTATGTTGTCCTATCCAAGCATTTGTCTCCAGAGCGGCAATTAAATGTGGTGAGATGAGGAGAACAGCTTTGTCATTTCAGCTCCATAACACAGACTCAGGATGGTCCAGTGCACATTCTTACAAGGAGATAGGAAAGGGCACCAAAGATATTGTTAAAAACCCAAAGCATTCTGTGTGGATAGTTGGGAAAGAAGATCGTTTGGAGAGCGAAGAGCCATGACTGTGTACCACATTGACATTCATAAGTGAGGGCTGATTTATACCTTATGTAGTTATGTCTCCCTATGTTGTGTTTTGTTTTAGGGATCAAACCGTACCCCAAGTTCACTGCAGTCATCCACGCAGTCACCCCCCTGGTATCCCAGTCCCAGCCCATCCTCAAGCTCCTGGTGGCGGTCGCCAAGTCTCAGTATTGTGCTCAGGTACCAGCAAACAGCCTCATCATCAACTCTTCACAGCCATGGAACCAGTACCTTTAACTCTTGGTACAGACAGGACCGACTCAAGTAACATTTACTGAAGTGTTGGCCTGAAATTAAGGCTTAGGCTTGGTCCATGTATCTAAACTGAGGGCCACTTTTGCATTAATTTCATGCACAGGACGCGTGCTGCCCACGTGTTATGTACGAGCATGACATATATAAATGTAACAGCACAGTTTATGTGCTGTACACTTTGAGAAAAGTGTGTCTTACTCATACATATGCATTTGTGGGAGGATAATGCATAACATGAGAGTATTGCGCAAAAAATGGGGCAGCTGATTAATTCCATTTGATTTACGGTTGGGAAACTAGTGGCATCCAGGTTTATGGTGAGTTTTGTCAGCCTATTTAAACCAGGAGTAAATGAATGGTAGTGTCTTAAAAGCAGGACTTTATTCATCAATGGCAGTAGTCACAGCAGACGGACAGAGGCACAGGCCTCAAAGACTGAACATGAAGAATATTTGCCAACAAAATAACCTTGTATCTGCGTGACCCTGAAAATGGTGTAATGTTTTTGTTTTTTTTTGTTTTTGTTTTTTTAATCTGGTGCGCACCAGATACTATCAAGTGAGCGCCTGATACTATGTGGTGAGCACCCGATGCTATGTGCTGAACACCAGATACTATGTGGCGAACACCAGATAGTATCAAGTGAGCACCTGATACTATCAAGTGAGCACCAGATGTAGTGAAAAAACATATATATACTTATATACTTATTTAAAAGGAGCACAGACAGTTTCACCACCTCATTCAGCAGCTGGGACTTTATGAGAGATTTCCCATAACTTATAGCTAACCATATCTAGCAAAGGCAGCCTACATTTAGCTATATTTTTGAAAGGGACAAATTGGTAAATTATTTTATATATATATATATATATATATATATATATATATATATATAATATGTGTATATATAATACTTTTTTCTATTTTTTTTTTTGCTCACCACCACATAGTATCTGGTGCTCAATAGTATTTTTACCTAAAAAAAAAAAAAATAATAATAATAATAATACACCACGTCCCTTTAGGGGCTCCGTATGTATCACCTCAGCGATGAAAAATTCATCTTTATGTGACTAAAAGAATTTCATTTATTAACCGTTCTCTTCATCACTGAACTCGTCTTTTAAACACTGTGTCTCATTCGATGATATACACAGTGCAGCCCTGTGTATAGTTCACATACTACAGCCTTAGTAAATTGACCATTTCAGACGCATTGTACATAATGTGGAAGCATCAAGGCACAGACTGCTCTGCGCCTGCTCATGTAACTGCATCTGGCCCTGAGTTTGTATATTTGTGGCTGTGCTGTATGCCAGCATTCACAAACGTTACAAGTATATGTCACAGTGGCTTCCTTGGCCGAAGTTGTTTTCCCTCTTGAGAGCGATTGGATCCTTCTTGCAGCAGAAGTGCTCTGAAGTGGCATCTTGGTGCGTGCGGATGCCTGGTCTCCTCCGCCCCCACTGCAGATACCCGTTTTTGATCCTCTGAGACTAAATAACAGCTCGGACCTCCCGATCGCTCGTGTGTTTCCATGGTATCCATCACCTTCTGTGAAGCTAGCAGCCCTGGGAACCAGAACGTATCGATTCCTTTCTGCCTCGGATAGAGCAAGAGGCAAGAAAAGAGAGAAAGAAAGGAGGATGGAATGGAGGAGAGCAGGACCGATGGATTAAATGCAAGGCATCCCTGCTGACAGTGTGAAGCGAAATACACTCGTCTCCTCTCTACCCGGCAGGAGGGCCTGAAACGGCGCGGCTGCAGAAAGGCTTGGCTTTTGTTTCTCTGAATCGAACGCGTTCTCATTCTAGTGAAGTGGAGGGACGGGAGTAGCAATTATTCGAGCGCTCTTTTGCTTCCCTTCATCAGGCCGAGCCCCCTCCTCGGAGCGGAACTGGAGGAAGGGGGGCTGACATAAATAAATGAGAGAGAGAGAGAGGGAAAAGGCGAGAGACACTTTTGAGCAAGTTCTGGCAAGCTAGCTCACTAACAGTGGGGGTCTCCTGCTGCGAGCTACCGTTTCTGTTTCTGAGCGAGCGAGTGAGCAAGCGTCTGTGTGTGCGCACTTGTGTGTATGAGAATCAGTCACACACACACACACACACATACCTCCACCCCCAGAACAAGGGGAAAGCTGATGGAGATACCATCTGCCTTTCAGCTTCTCCAATTAGCGTCAGAGGAAGCCACAGCTAATCACTGTTAAAAATACACCTCAGCCACTGCCTGCGTCGCACTTCACACCGCTCCCAATCACAGAAGCTATGAGTTCCGTTGTTAACAACCATTTACCATCAGCGTTTAGTAAAAAGCGTGTCATCAACGCACTTTTTAAACTTTGCGATGTTTTCTGACGTGTTTCTGAAAGTAATAGATGTGAAATCACACCAAATTTGTTCTGATTAGGGCTTTGCAGAACTATAGCTGGAGAAACTATAGGCATTTCAAAGGTGTTTGAATATTCCAGCGAGAAAATTTTGTATTATTATAACTTTTATTGCCATCTATGGCAGAGTATAAGAGTGCATAACTGGCCTCGCTCTCTCTTAGTAATACCCAGTAAACACAACATTGACGCAATATTGTCTGCTTTTTTACAGTGTTGCTACAATGTTGTCAAAAGGTGGTTCTGTTTACATTGTCTGAACAAGGTTGTCACAACCTCATTAAGTAACGTTGCCATGCAGTGTTATGACTACCTATTGGCAACAAAGTTTCATGCACAGCATAATAGAATTTACAAGGGTTCTAGGAGGTTGTGACATCGTACTTACAGTGTTGCCGCTACACTGTCACAGCTTCCTAGAATGCTGTCACAACTTTCTTAAGAATTAAATTTCAATGTTATGACAATTTTGTGGGCACCAAAACAATAGGTTGTCACAACCTAACTGCGTTTGCTGGGTAAGCATGATGCTAGCTAATGTGGGGGTCTGTTAGCTAACAGAATTGGCATTCTAGTACTTCTTAGTATTCTACTACTAAATGCAGAGGTCTGTATCCAATTGTTATGTTCATTTAGTGATTTATTTTTGTTTTTTTAGTCATATGTGATTTAACATACTATCAGGTGGTCTGTAGAATGATCACAAATTTGGATAACACAGGGATGTGTGCATAGGGACCGTTACTTGGCTACTCGAATACTGAAAGCTCTGTTTGGGTACCTGTTCCGTTTCATTATAGTAGGATGGAGAAAATATGCAGATTACCAATTAAATGTAAAAAAGCCACTTTGATGTATTAACAGAACTGTAAAATATTACGGTTTTGTGTGTGTGTGTGTGTGTGTGTTACACAGTGCCACTCAAATAGGAGTGCCTTAACTTGAGCATTGCCAAAGATATGATTGAGAACGCAGATGTGGCTCAGTATTATTGCTAACTAGGCTAACTGCTCTAGCTGATGTTAAGTAGATTCAGAAACAGTGGAAATATATTTCTCTGACAAACTAATGTTGGCAGATTCTCCACTGAGGAGAAAATAACTTGTCTAAGACGATGAGTCCTCATCAGCATCCAGTGCTGCACCAGTTAGCTGTAGTCTTAGCTCACATCTGAGAAGGCAGCCTCTGTTACTCATCCAACAAAAAAACTACTGTTTTTTAAATAATAATACATCATGTTTACAAATGTATTCCTCTGCTTGCTGCTAAATGTTTATGCTCTTGTGTTTTTTTTTAGCCTCTTAACACCAGAGCTGTCACCTAAAATACCAAACCTCCAGCCATTCGTTAAATTCGTCCATAGTTTTTCCTTGCCTGGTTAATCGAGTATTTGTTCATTAACTCTTGCGTTTAGTTGAATATCAAAATTAGTCGGAATGCACATCTTTAGTAACACTTACTGAAGGGCAGCATTCATAAGGCTACACCTACATAAGCCTTTCATGATAAAGGCTTATTTCAGCTAGTGTCAATTGTTCTTATGCTGATTTGTAGGTGTTATGTAGCCTTATGAATGCTGCTCTTCAGTATCTTTTGAGAAATATTTTTCATTACGTTTTCATTTAAATATTTAGATGTGTTTTGTAGTATTTGCTGCTTATATTCCAATATTATCTGCAATTTTACACTTTGCTTCATTCAAATCCATGATTAAGTCAATAAATACAGACACGTGTTTGAATATCCATATGATTCAGTAACCAACTCATCCCGAGCTGCAGTGTAGGGATGGCGCTGTGGGCTCAGCAGCAAGTTCAGACCCACAACCAGTGTATTTCAGGGCAGTTTGGAGCGGGTCCAACCGTAAAGCCTGCCACATTAAACATTTATGAGTGTCAATGTAAAAGACAAGCCAATCGCCAGAGCCTGGTGTAATTACTGTGACACTTCAAGGTGACAAAGCATAAATTAGTTAGAAGCTGTGGGTCTGTAATTTGCATGAATGTTGCAGTCTAGCCATGTTACTGATTATGCCATATTACTGCAACACATTAATATTAGTAGCTCATATTTGAAATTAATTGTTAAGGACAGAGATATATTTCCTGAGCCACTTGAAGGTGAAAAGCATAAATTAAGAGAAGGATCTGTAGTTCACTCACATTCTGGATCCGTCACACTCCACTTACTTTTGGTTTTGCACTACAGCTCACTCAAATTAGCGATACATTTTAAAGCTAATCTAAATAGCCCTCTGAAAGGGTTGAAGCCAAAGCCAGAAGTAGGTTGAATTACTATGTATGTCTGCCTAAGGGCCGAAAGTAATTGAGGTGAAAAATTGAAGTTGAATTAAAGGAATGAATAGGCATAAATAATCACTGATTTTTTTTTTTTCTATTAATGACTTGACTCATCTTCTCTTTCTACTTCATACTTCCCTTTCTGCCCCCTAAAAACATGTCTGTCACTTCCACTCCTCCTCCCTCCTCTCCCTCTTTCTCAGATTATTGTATTGTGGAATTGCGACAAGCCTTTACCTGCCAAGCACCGATGGCCTGCCACCTCTGTGCCCGTCATAGTAATCGAAGGAGAGAACAAGGTGAGTCTTCCCGAAACAGATTGCACAATAAACGTACTCCTGCTGAAGAGTTTACTCCCTTCATGAATGAGATTGGAGCAAAGTTTTTCCTTGCTCATCTTTGATACTTGCACAAATGCACAAGTCTGATTTACCCTTATCATTATGAAAACTGATGTAAACAGTTGTGTTGCACAAAGAAAGCTCAAACTTTTTCAATGGTAATCATTTCAACACTGTATCTTTAAATACTTCATTCTTAATTTGAACAGGCTGCTGTATTTAGACTCATTTTGGCTATAGGCGAATGATACGCGTGCTGGTCGAAGCCCACATTAGCATATCTTAAACCTCCAATTAACAATGGCACAATACCACTTTTTCTTTTCTGATACTGATGCAGATATTGTGCCGGCCGATACTGATACTTCCGCTATTTCTTTTTTAAAATCTGCAAAGCTTTAAAATAAACTATTTTTAAAATGTGATATATGCTCTTAAAAAACAACCTAACAGTAAGGTTTACCTTATTATGAGAGAGAATCCCTCCTCTCCCCCAACACAGCACAGCAGCAGTTCACTGTCTTTATTCCGTCAAACCCCACAGATATAGTATTTAATTTGTGTGGGCCAATCAGAAAGACGACATTAAAGAAATGTGCAAAAAGAGCCACACTGGTCTCAATCAAGACAGTTAATCTTCATCTATCTAGTTTTCTTCTGAAACTGATTTCTATGAACTGTTATAACTGAGAGTGAGAGAGTGGCAGCCATAAAGCCAGACACTACGCACCACTGGGGAGCCAGTAGAACACAAACGATAGGCGATGTTTTAGAAAGGCCTTGATTTCTAATAGATGTGGGGTCTCAAAAGATGTCTGCGGAATTTTGTACACATTGGTCTTTTGACCTTGGTGTGGTAAGCAACAATTTTTTTAACCAAAAAAAGTCAAAATACATAAACTGTGCAGTATTTAGACATGACCTGTATTTGCATAGTTGCTGAACACAATGAACTGAATAATTATGCAGCAGTTACCCCTCTTTTTTAGTGCAGCACAATTTCATGTGAAAATCACTGAAAATCTCTTATTCTCTATGAACAATGCTGCTGGACTGAAACAGCGGATTCATTTCTGAATTTGTCACCTTTTTTCACTGTGCATGAATTTTCATGTCTGGGTTTACTTGATTTATTAACATTGGCTTAAGATTTCAGTGTTAACTGGGAGGTTGAACTGATAACTGAATAGCATTTTCAGTCCAATAAACATTGGCTGTTCAGACCCAGTGAATAAAGTTTTTTGCTTTTTGCCATACTATTGTTTAGCACTGTGATGGTGGTCCTGGTATCAGTATTATTTAATCAGGATAACCATGGCAAACTATAATAATCCAATTTTAAAATGAAGTCAGATCAGAATACATCAAGTAGACATTGTGCTTCTGAAGCTGGCACTGCTACACATTCATTGCTTTTAAGAAGTGAGTGATAGTGAGAGCTCATGCAGGCACCCTCAGCTAAAACGTACTAACCTTGACTTTTGGCTGACTGCGTTTTTATCCATTGAGTGTTGATGGCCCTTCAAAAGTCTGAGCAAGAGCTCAGGATCGCACATGCACACAGCATTTAGCATGCAGTGGAGAGGGATTAGCTTTCTTTTGGCTGCAGGAAGCGGAGAGTGGGGTGCCAGTCCGCTTGTGGTTTGTTGTGCTTGTGGCCGTCTTGTTTACAGAGCTCTGTGTGTGTGTGTGTGTGTGTGTGTTCGTTCCCGTCCAGACCAGCCAAGGGGAGCATAGGCAGCTCCTCTGAGCCGTGACTGACAGCGTAGCCCCATGCCACTACGTGTGTGTGCGCACAGTTGCTTCAGGCAGAATTCCGCTCAAACTCCTTCCTTCAGTTTACTGAGTGTCACACTCTGAACGTCATAGCCACCATCTGTGATTATAGAGCACTTGTTAATATATATTGGCTTTTAAGCCATATATCGCCATATTTAGTATGTTTAATGTCTCTAGTACACTTTTAACAGCATGAACTATGATTCATAGAATGAGGGCTGTAGAAATATGATTTCAAATATCACGTAAATGCATACAATTACCACTGCTGTATGAACGCTGAAAACTTTATAACTCCTCTTTTTTGATGGTGTTTTTCTTTTTCTTTATCTGCACCATTTAAAAACAGCCAGCATCCCTTCACATCGTGTGAACATTTCATGATAGATGGGCCAATACAGATGAGTTCTTACATTCACTTTACATTGAAATTATTTATGTGGTTTTGTTACTAGAGTGATAGCAAATGCTTTTTACATCAAATACAGCTTTCAGTTTACAGACTGCAGGAGACCAAAGGTTAGAGTTGTGGTTAAGTTTACATGCAGGCATGGCAGGATTTCAACTACAATAATACTGAATTAAAAGAAAAACTCCCTTAAAGACAGTTTTAGGTTAGATATGTGACTCTCAGTAGTGAAGATGTCTCAATAGGACTGTGTATGCGTGTGGGTGAGGACAATAGAGTTGGTTGCATTTGTACACATTTTGTTGTTTTTTTCGTAGTGGTGTTAACTATTTTATATTCGTGGGTGCATTTCTGTTTTAGTGCGTGAATTCTGTGTGTTAGTGTGTGTGGGAGTGTGTTTCTGAGCGTGGAGGTTTTGTGTATGTGTGTAATCCGGGCTACAAGTGTGTGTTTACATGTGTGAGTATATTTTTGTTTGTGTGTGGTCCTTGTATGTGTGTGTTTGTGTTGTGTGGGTGGTTTTGTTTGAGTCCTGAAGTTAGCATAGCTGTGTTCATGCTCACTGCTTTAAGTCCTGCATCTCTCATTAGCATTTTGGTGTCCCTGACCTGCTTACACTGCCAGAAACTCTCTCCCCCATTATCACTCACACACACTATACATACACTATATATACATATATATATATATACACACACACACTCTCACATACTCAACACACACGCCAGCTAAATATTTGAAAGCTATGAATATTGCAACAAGTCAGCAGGAGGAATGTGCAGAGAGTATTTTTCCTTCTTTTCCCAGCAAGATAGAATCTTATCACACTGATGTGGCTCCGAGCCAAACTGATAAGAGACTAGAAACGAGCAAAGCAGCATAGAACACACCTGTAAACAGTACTGTAATCATGATTTTGTTTCTCTCTCTCTCTCTTTCTCTCTTTCTCTCTTTCTCTCTGTTTGTGTGTGTGCGCACAGGTGATGAGCAGTCGTTTTCAGCCGTATGAAAGCATCATCACTGACGCTGTGTTGAGTTTAGATGAGGACACGGTGCTCTCCACCACAGAGGTAAGGCACTCTCACAGCTTCCACAAACACAGACACTGTGGAATTTACGACCGGCTGCTTTTTTCACCTCCCACCCCCACCCCTCCCTTCTCTTCCCAGCCCCCCTCAGGGTATGAGAGAGAGAGAGAGAGAGACTGTAAGGGCAGTGCTGGCAGGACTCCAGCGGTGCTGTTGAGTTTAGCTGTGTCAGCATGGAGGAGCCGACCACTACAGTCCTCTTCTTTCTGTTGTCACTCACATCACCTCTTACTTACTCACTCACACCACATACCCTACCTGTCAGGTTTGGAATCAGCATTCGGAAGTTCAGAATAATTACTGTTTTCCTTAATATAAAATGAGTTTGCTTGCAGATACATGTATATTCATTCTAATCAGGGCGCAGCTTGCTTTTTCCGTATGTGCTACAGAAATTGGATAAAGCCTGCAGCAGGGGTGCTCAATCCTGGTCCTGGACATCCTCCACCATGGAGAGTTCAGATCCAAAACACCTGACTCAAATAGTCAGATGCTCCTGAAAACCTTGATTACCTGGATCAGGTGTGTTAGATTAGGGTTGGAGCTAAACTGCAGGGTGGTAGTAGATCTCCAGGTCCAGGATTGGGCACCCCTGGCCTACAGTCCAAGCACATACAATATATTAATGTAGGCACAGTGAAATATGTCATGCAATACTAATTACTGCTGTGGAAAAAGAATATTTAATATATAAGAATATTTATGTAATAAATATACGTGTTGTCCACCAGGTCACAGTCATATAATTTAAATTATAATATAATTGATAATACATAATTGAAACATTAAAAAAACTTCTAAAACACATTTGGTGAGTAGTTTATCATGTTTATTTACATTGTTCAAGTAAATGTTTTATATAAATATAAAAAAAATTAGTCTAAATTTTTGTCCATCTCCCAGTGTTTTGTAGACCGCATGCTCTTCTCCACCATAAGCTGCTGACAACCAACCCGTCGGTGGTTGTGTATGTTCACTATGAACAAAGGCAGTTAGACTCTCAGAACTCTCAAACTCCCTTCAGCTTGACATCTCCCTCAACAACGCCTCGTCATTCTTTTTCAGCGCCTCAATTCAGGAAAACTTCTGCTGTCCATCTGTCCTTACTCTGATTTACTTATGGACACCTGTGGGTTGGACCTCTGAATGCAGCTGTTGCCTGTGTTTAGGTTTAGTGTATGGTCTTGGTAATTCTTCTGTGAAGTGGGCAGCACGAGTGTGTGTGTGTGTGTGTGTGCGTGTGCATGTGTAAGGCTGTTCTTTAATTCAGTGCTGATTTTATATCCAGCCGCAGTTCGGGATCTGACGCGTTTGATGTGTTTCAGTAATTATTTGTTTAAAAGCTTTGATCTGAGAAAAAGGAGGGCATCTAACAGCAGTGCCTTTGGGTGTGTGTATGTGTGTCCGCTTGCATCGGTGTTACCCACTTGCATTGCGCAACTTTCTCAGAGTCTGGTTCTTTTGTAATTGTAGTAGTAGTCTCCTGGCCACAGATGTTCCAGATGTTAGCTATATGGATTCCATTATAAAAAGCTAATCCAAAGTAGAGCACAATATATGTATATGGTATGATAATTGTTGGCAATGTGCAATTGAGTTATCTTAAAATAAAAAAATCCAGGGTTCTGAGCTGTCCTGAGGTTGTTTTGAGAAATTAAGGTCACACAGTTCAGGAAAAAAGAAATAATATAATAATATAAAAATAATAAAGGCCAGTCTAACCATGTCACATCAGGAGTTCATCAGTGCGTTTTTAATATAGTGTAATAATGCCTAGGTCATAGAGGGCTCAACTGTTGCTTACTAGTGTATTTATATATATATATATATATATATATATATATATATATATATATATATATATATATATATATACATACACGTCATACAGGAGAAGGAACATAACAGTAAAACCTAATTTACTTTTAATGTAAGTCACTGGAATCAGACATTTTCCCAAGTCATTTTGGTCCATTTCTTTTGGTCCCCTATTTCTGACTGAACAAAGCAATTCTTCACAGGAAAGTGATTTTTTGTCATTCAGGTTTATGAAATGTTTGTCTAGTAATACCTAAAGCACTGTCCATCATACCTAACTCACTGTCCCATAGTACCTACACACTGGACCAGGAGTTAATGTGACCTGATTCTATCCTATTGCAAGGAGTTCTGAGATCACAGTATGTTGAATTATAATCTCAGTGTACCATATTTTGTCCATATAGTGCAACCCCTAGTTCTAGGCCTGCTGAATATCTGCTCATTGTGGATCTGTGCTGTTTGTTGCCCTGTAGGTGGATTTTGCCTTCACAGTATGGCAGAGCTTCCCAGAGAGGATCGTGGGTTATCCTGCCCGCAGTCATTTCTGGGACAGTAATAAGGAGCGCTGGGGCTACACCTCCAAATGGACCAACGACTACTCCATGGTTCTGACTGGAGCTGCCATTTACCACAGGTAACCACAACTGCCTGGCACCAGTATTCACAGAGTTTCTCATACAGCATCGCTTTCTGCAGTGGTTATCCTGCTTAATCATAGAACAGGATGACTGTTAATATGAATTAAAATTCAAGACCAGACATTTAATTATCATGATGGTCATGATAACTGTTCTCTGACGTGAGGTGTTGCTCAGTCCTTAACTTCACATTGGTTTCGTCCTTTAGATATTACCACTACCTGTACACACACTTCCTGCCAAGCAGCCTAAAGAACATGGTGGACCAGCTCGCAAACTGTGAGGACATCCTTATGAATTTCCTGGTATCAGCTGTGACCAAGCTGCCACCTATCAAGGTCACCCAGAAGAAGCAGTACAAGGAGACCATGATGGGACAGGTACATAAAATTCAGATTTCCTCTTCTGTTTCTGACTCTCATTTTCAATTCTTAACTCCATGCTCAGTTTTCTGTTGTTAGACCAGTTCCTATTTGTGGTCGTGGAGTACCACTGCTGCACATTTTCCGTGTTCTGACATGAATGATGCACCTACTCAGCTCTTTAACAAACTTGACCTGAGCTGAATGACCTGGGCATGTTAGAGAAGGGAGAACACAAAAATGTGCAGGACAAGGAGTACTCCAGGATCAGGGTCATTACTGCTGGTTCCATTAAAAAATCAGAAGCACTGACATAGTAGCAGCAATGACAGCGACATAGTAGTGCTGGTGTACAAGCATATCAGATGCAGCAGCAGTGCCAGGATTTTTTTTTAACACCTTAATGTCACAGTTTGATTGAAAATAGTCTGGCAACCAACAGTGGTCATGTGATCAGAAACCGGGCACTAATGAATGGCTAGAGGATGACTAACACACATTATGCATGGAACAAGAGTTACATTACACCTGGTTCACACCTGGCATTAACATACATATTGGGTGATCTGATCATAAGAGGACAGCAAGTACAAGTATCAACGGGGTCCAATTAGGCCTGTCACCGTTATTACACCATTGCCTAATCGCAGTTATTTTGTACAGTTTTAAGCGTTCACAAACATATATTTACAAACAAAAGTGTGAATTATTATCTAGTTGTTTGAGGCAAAAAAATGTAAATGAAAGAAAAGCAGAAAATCTATTTATTGAGACACATCATGGGTCAAAACAACAGATGTTCTGACTGGTGCTAAAATACATTTAGAGGGCAGCACTGAGTAATGTTTGCTATGTTTGTTAATCACTCAAAGGGACACATATGGCAACATGACATTTGTAGTCTGAACATTAAAGCATCCCGATGCCTCCCAACAGCAGAATACTTGCCTAATCAACTCGACATCACAGCAGAGACAAAAGCAACTGCTTAGTGTAGCTTCGCATTTGTTTACAAGTTGTTTGCAGTCCATGTGGTCTAAACATTTCTAACAGCCTGTACATGAACAAGGACTTGCAAGATATTTTTGTATTTTGTATATTACAAATGCAGCAAGACACTGACGCAGTAAATGTACATGGTACCCTTCCTCAAATTATGAAATACAATCAGAAGTGGAGATGCGTTCAAGACATGTGGAAAGGCCGAGTGTAATTGTCTTTACTGTCTACTTTTGATCAGACCCAAGACAGATGTTACAACCAGGTTTGAACCGGGCCTAACTGCACACCTACAAGGCGTACAAACAAGGGAGAAGTGTCTAATACAGTGGGCAGTGAGAGTTCAGTGCTCTGCCTGATACAGGCGCACTAGCACATTCTGAAAAACCCCTCATGGACGTCCTGAACACTGAACACTATTTAACTTTGAAACATTTCTTTGCCTCCACAGTCATCCCGAGCATCTCGCTGGGCAGACCCGGACCACTTTGCCCAGCGGCAGACGTGCATGAACAAGTTCGCCAGCTGGTTTGGCGGCATGCCCCTGGTCCACTCCCAAATGAGACTGGACCCAGTCCTGTTCAAGGACCAGGTCTCCATCCTCCGCAAGAAATACAGGGAGATTGAGCGGCTTTGACCAGACGGGCGCCCCCTACTGACCGCACAGCAGGGGGCACTGAGACTTTCTGTGGAGAGGAGGAGGACCACAGAAGTTCCGGCTGTGGTTCCACCTCTCTTTTCCACTCCGTACACTGTCAGTGACCAAGCTGGCAGAACGTGAGCGCTGTCTGGGGACACTCATACACAGGCGCACCCACAGGACGCACACTTTTGACCACGAGACTCTTTGGAAGACTTATTGTTTTTGTTTGTTTTTCTTTTGTAATGAATGCCGTAAATGACTGACGATCTTTGCCAGCACATGAGAGAATATGGGAAAAGGCAGGAGGGATGCATCAATGTGACTTCATGCTAACTACATCAAGCTACATCAGGATCTAAACCACAATCCACCATCTCCTCCTAGTCTCAAAACATACTACCAATGCCATATGTCTGTCTCTGTCTTCATCTGAGGACTGATTTTGTATGTTCATCATGTGTCTTCTGAAGGTTGGTAATTTGTCATATTTTATCATTCAGTTCTTTGAATCATTTCAGTAGTGAGCAGTACACACTTTACGAAAAGGTTAGTGGTCGCAGAAGCAGAAAGTACTGTTGCTTATTGACAAGGGAATTGGTCTTCATTTCCTCCTCATTGCCAATTTCTCCACTATACTACGGAGGCACATTCAACATGATTCATAAGGGTATTTTATTGGTTTGTTTTATTTAATTGTTAATTCCTTCAGTGCCAAGATTTGTCAGTTGCCTTTTTACTGACATATCACCCCCTCATAAAAAATATATATATATAATTAAAATCTATGCACTGAACGGCCTTCATCAGTTCTGAAATATGCTGTCACCTTTAGTCAAAAATGCAAGCGAGTGGAGGCATCTGTTTTGGTGTGACGGGCCATTCTTGTCGGCAAAGTGCTCGAGTTTTTAAGAAAAGCACTTAACGCTGGTATGTGACAAGTTTCATTGTGACTTATAGGCCAAATTTCAGCAAGCTGTTCCTTGCCTCTTTGTTCTGTTCCAGCCCAATGAAGAATGAGTTATCTGTCAGGGTCATGGCACCACCTCATCGTTCACCGCTTTGTAGTCCTTTTGTATTGTGACTCGCCTCCATGTACAAGACTTCCTCACCCACTACTAACCCATGCCCACAAGATGTATGTCCTCAATTTTACCTGTTCAGAAGTAGGTGTGTGTTTTTATTAAATAAAACATGTGCATCCTCTCAGTCATTGATTTTATATCAAGGGAATGGCGCTTAAGATAAGGGGCAGAAGACCCCTGTATTTCTCTGCAGTCTCCAGAGCAGAAGTGTTAGTCTTTATAATGAAGCAGAGCTCCCTGCCAGTCTCTGCTCACACAGGTACTTGAATGTCTGATGACTTGAAGGAGCGCTGTGCTTTAGTGGCCTTTTGTGAAGGTGATTGGACTTAAAGTGAGCCAGCTGTGAGCCAAAGTCTGTTTTTTTGTTTTTTTTTGTTTTTTTTTTCCTGTCCTTTTTTGAATAAGATCCTCTGTGGACAGTAACTTCCTTCATAAATCTGAGAACTTTGCTTTTAGTCTTACTGTACTGAAAAGCATATCGGCAATGGTTAAAAAAAACAAAAAAAGAAAAAGAAACCACAGATTTGTATGTATAATTATAAATCATATAAATCACACACTACATTTTTCTTTTTAACATGGTTTAACCCACAATGAAATTCAAGATGTTTGTATTTTTTTTATATATATTTTTTTAATAGAACCAAGCTGTATTAATGCCAAGATTTAGACTGTATTTTGTGTTCTTTAGGAATTGTCTGATGCAGAAAGCTATTTAAATTTCCACTTAACTAACCTGTCCTTTATAATGATCTAAAAAAAAAGTCATTGTAAGAACTGACATTTTGAAATAAGTGAACTGGAAACGAAAGGTGGTTAAAAAAAACCCTGAAGCAAAACTGAACATTCGCCGTGTGTATTTGTGTCTGCAGTTTGCAATATTTCCTGATGTGAGATTTATCACAATCTCCTATTATAGATGATGCTTCACTCTGTATTCACAACATATGCAGGTGAAGATCAAAAAGAAATGTTTCCAGAATGTTGGGTTTAATTGCTGTGTTCACCTTCAAGCATGACAGATGCTGGTAACTAATGAGTAATAGCAATATTGCTGGTATGAAACCACTGGCCCACATCTGGTCAACTATTAAGTTCAGTAAACCCTCTTATTTAAAGTCATATCAAGCCTTTATCTATGATTGTCTGAGTTGTTGTGACCATCTCATATCAAAGTTTCATTTGTAGCCTTGCACAATTTCATAGACAAATCAGACATTTGAAAAATGTAGACTTGCTGTACATAAACTGTATTTATTTTCACACGAATAAAACTAAGCAAATATGTATAGTACGCGATATCTGACGCAACATGGAGATGACTTTGGAGGACAGCTGTACAGCATCAAAAAAATCTACTCTGTGTAAGATGTACATTTTGTCTCCCCCCCACCCAACCTGTCTGCCAATATTGTTTGCCAAAAGGACATGATGACACACTACGTCCAGTTGTTTTCCCCAGTATGCACTTGGTCCATTTTATTAATGTGAGTAGATGCAAAATCAGCTGATATATATGTGCTGTTATGGTAGTTTGTTCATTTGTCAGAAAGCATTCATCATTAATTGGCATCTTTTGAATGCTAATGCTGCTGCCACTGCATACTCAGTCACCAAAGACTTGTGGTAAGCAAGAGGCATTAGAAAAATGGATTCTTTTAACATTTTATACTGGGTTCTTTTTCTTTCCTATAGCTGTAATACACATTCTGCATTCCGTTTTGATCCAGAGACTATTCTCTTCTAAAGCTACTACAACTGGCATGATTGTTTGTAAATGATTAATTTTCAGTCATGCATAACCTTCTGTGATTAGCAATAAGGAAGACAGCACTCGAGAAACACGAGGGCAGGCATGAGCAGTCGTTCTTTCTGATTTTCTGATTGTGCCTTTGACTAAATTTGATCGGAGAATTTAATGACCCACTTCAAATGGAGGAGAGGGGCATAGGAAGCTGTAAGATGCCCTTAAAGACATGCCAGATAGCAGCTTTACACTGTCTTACACTGGAGTCTCTCAGCATCCATTACGCACTCATTGCAACCACCAGAACTGCATGACCACTTTAGAGTACATAGGAGAATCTGCCGACTTTTTTATATATATATATATATATATATAAAAATATATAATTTGCTCCCTCCTGTCCTTACCATCCTCCTTTCTCCCTGTAATTAACAAAAAGACTTTTTATAGAGGTAACAAAGAAAATAGAATAATGACAATTTTGTATGAATGATTTATAAGAAAATGAATAAAAGTCAAATTTGATGGTATATGACGACAAGCAATGTGTGGTGTTTTTTTTTCCTCCAAAACCCAACCACTCAACCACTTACTGGTTTAACTCATTATCATCATTTTTTAAAACCCTTGTGTGGTGTTCATGTTTTTGTTACTCAGTGGGTCCACCAGACTCATTACTGTAATCAATACAGCCATAACAATTTATGTAAAAATACTAGATATTTAAAATATCACAAGAGGCCAGCAAAGGGTTCTCCTTTAGCCTGTCCATGTTGTCTGCCCTCACACACACACACACACACACTCTAACAGCAGGCCACTAACAAGAAGGACAGTACCTCCACACTTTTATTCCTGGCGGGTTCACCCAACACCACGCGTAATATAAATGTGTAGGGGTTTACAGTGTAAAGTCATTGAAAATGTGTTATGTTCTTCACAGAAAATGAGCAAACGCCAAGTAATCTGAGGTTGAAATAATAATAAATTGCATCAGGTTTTTTGGGTAAACATTTAAAATGGGTCCCACAGACCCCAACACCGCACAAGGGTTAAAAAGTTATATTAAATTTGTTTTCCTCTTCCTTGAACCACCTTCTTTTCCATTATTGCTTCTGGACAGTCTGAGGCACTGCTTTAGTCTCTATTAAATCCATTCAAAGGCAAAGACAGAAATTGTGTATGCATGGTATGTCAAACCTTGACATTGTTTTATTTCATTCTTACTGAAGAATGAAATAACAAACACCAATCCCAAAAACAAAGATGCCTCACCTTGAAATGACAACCTACTCACGCAATACCACGGCTATAAATATGAAAACTGTTACATTAAAAGCACTGGAAGGTATATATAGCATCTTTCAGTTATGTAATACATAGCTGCCAAACATAGTTTCTGACATGACATGACATAAGCTTTGTAATGGACAAGCATATTAAAATAAAATAATACTCATCTGCAAAATGCAATACACATTCGTGCTACATTTTTTAAACTATAAGTTAAGAAATATTTAACTTACTCTGAAGAACAGATACATTATGACTTACAAATATTTGGAATACAATTTAGACACAAATTCATCACAGAAAATAAAAGAAAAGCACTCTGCCTTTCCAATTTTCAAGCTGAAAATTGAATCCGAGGCAGCTAAACTGAATGCTTTCTCAACCATGTAGCATGAACGAGCAGCAAAATTTACCCCCTTTCTCTCAGTCTTCTCTCCTTCCTCCTTCCCTTTCTCAATTTTTCACCTCAGCACCCCTCTCCTGTCTCTTCTGTCTTTCTGCTTCATGGTCAGTGAAAACAGACATCTCATTAATGCAGCTTGTGTAGACAATAGTCTGTCTTGCATATACAAGAGTGCTCTGCAAATGGCCTTGTGTGTGTGTCTTAGCTCCTCACAGCCAGCATGGAGTTAATCTCCCAGATGAGGTTTCTGAGCTGGTCCATTATCTGCTTCAGCTGTTGGTTCTTCTGTTTGAGTTTCTGTAATAAAAAAAAACAACAAATCTTTCTTTCAAAGCTGTAATTGCTGCTCCAATGCAAATCAAATCTCAAAATAACACATGCACAAAACTGGACAGATGGAAGAGATTTTTCATATCCAGAATGCTGGTGAATTAACTTTCACTGTAGTTTTAATGGCAAGTATAAATATTAGAACATGCAGATTAGAAGTGGGCGATATGGCAAAAATACATCACGATACTATGACAATTTCATCATGTGCATTATGTATTGTAATATTTCCCTTTTCTAAGGTTTGGCAAGTTGGAAAAGACATAAAAAGCTCCATTATTGCCAACATTTTGCATGAACAAAATCCAGTTAACCAGGAGTAATTATGCTCTCTTTGTAATGAAACAAAGGGTGGTCAGTGTTCTTTACATACTCATAATATGCTCAGAAAAGAGTATTGTTAAGTAATTTATCATGATAATGATAAAATATAACCATATTGCCCATCTCTAATGTGGATTAAATAATGAACGATAATTGAATCATCAGTATGTAGTCTGCGCTGGAAATCCCCTGCAAAAACCCACCAGCACTAATACCTCATTCTAATTCTTAGGTCATTGCAAATCTGGTTTTAAAAAAATCTAAAAAGTTACCAATGACCACCCAAATGCCTGCCAGTGGTATAAGTAAAACAATGATTCAGTATGAATGCTGTAACATTTGACATATCCATATCAGAGAAATCCATCTCCATTTTCCAAATGCAATGCTGACTGCTCATTCACTGTCTGAACTACATTTTGATTCAACCTTCAATGAAAATTGTATAGCACAGCTTGAAGGAAGTGTCAAAATGTTACAAGGAAAAATCTAAATCATTGAAATCCTGCCACTTAACTGCCCAAGTCAGACGGCAGTGCTGCTTATTACATTTTTGAGCTATTCATCCTCATCGGTCATGGTGAAAAAGGCATAAGACCTCTTCTGCTCTTATATCTGGTCTCCTTCTGAAATGGAGTCTCAGCAAGACTTAATATCAAAATGCAAAGCTGAAAACCGAATGTTTTAAATGTAATATACTGGACAGGCTATTTAAAAAGCACATTGCTGTGGTCATCTAGGATCTTTGATGAATTTATTTTGTATCCTTGTGTTCATGCAATTCATCGTTTCTGATATACAGAAAGAAGCATATCAGAAGACGGCCTCTGACAAAGCCACGGCGTATCAGAGGAGAGTTCTGACAGCACAACTTCAGTGCTCAGGAACACAGACGCAGTCATTAGCTTGCTTTTACCGAGGACAATCTGAAGGTGTGAAAACTTTGATATTCCGGCTGGACTACTTTGTCACAAAAGCTGGTACTGGACCGAACACCCCGTCTCATTTTGCTTTTCCCTTCATCTGCTTCTCTTTCCTCCTCAACTCGAGAGCAGATCAAAGGAGCCGTACTCGATAATGCGTGAGGGAAAAGGAGTTTTTGATCAAATGCCGACTTATTAAAATACGAATTCACTCAAATCTGCCAAGTTTTAGACTGTGATTGACAGCCCACCAGAGTTTAAGCTCCTGAGAGTCAGCTCTATTGTAGACACCACTCTGGAAGAGAAAAGGGAGGAAGGGGGTTGTTTGTAGGCAACAAGAAAGCAATAGTTTCTCAAAGCATAGCCAATTATAAACTACAAATCTGTAGCACAAAGTCAATTTAAAAAACAGCAGAAGGAAAAATCTTACAGTAAATTATTATTAAACCATAAAAAACAAACCTGCACCAGTGACTGTGATGCATATAAACCCCTAAAAAATGTTGCATTATAATGTAATTTATTTCACCTTTAATTGAAAGAGGAAGCCCCATTTAAGTCAAGTGTATCTTTTCCAAGACAAATTTAATGATGTGTACTAGCATACATCAAATCAAAGGGCTGTCCAACCATCGAAGCATTTGCTCCATCATCGAAAGATCACAAGCTTGATCCTCAGCAAGTCCACAGCCAAGACAACATAACTGGATGGCCCTCACTCTCCACCATCACTCAGTGTGATGCTAGCCAACGTGGGTATTAGTAATCTGAAGTCCTAACCCGTGTCCAGTGTGTATTTAGGAGCATACTGTGCATGGAATCTGACCATATATTTTATTTGTTGACATCTTTGTCTGTTCTCATCAACTTTTCAATTTTTTTTTACCGTTTCTGATCAACAAAATCAGCCAACCCCAATTGTTGCTCAATGCTTCTTCCTCTGTCAAGAAAAAGAAACTTGTCAAAACAAACCTGCAGTGAGAACAGTGGTGGCAATAAATTAGCCAGAATTATTAGATTAAAGTACTATTGGGACAGAATTAGTTTTATATGAGGAGATGGGTAATGTAAAGATTCCACTGCCTTTTACCTTCCATAAAATGAGCAGCAGAAATAACCCTAGGTTGTATTAATCCCATGTGAATTGACATGTCACTAAAAACACTATCATAACCTGTGGAAAATGAGTTTCTTAAACATGGAGGACCTCAGAAGAAGCAGTTACTTGTGTTCTAAAAATCTGTTGCTGAAATCAATCTGATGTGTTGCCCTACCTCGAGTGTCCTAACTCAAACTCAGAATTTTAAAATATGTACAAATTACTGAAAAGAAAAGACTGATTTTATGTAGTGATGATGACTGTTGGCTGTAAATTTCCAGGCTAAATGCTAAATCAAATGTTATGACATGTTTTCTACTTACTAAGGGCAGTGCATAAATTGAGTAGCCCCTTTCATCACTGTCACTTTTTCCAAGATTTCTATCCTGTGTGATTCGATCATGAACATTACAGACGTCCTGTGGTGAACTAGCATTACCTCACTTCCCCATGGAAAACTAATCCTGTCTAAATAGTACTTAAGAAATGGTGGAAAGGAGTTGCTGAGGAATGTATAATGCCTGATACATGCCATCCTGATCATCTGGAAGGTTGTGCTGTTTTTGTGTCATTCCTGAAGCTGAAAAAGTTTTGGATTAAGCTGTGTGGAAGACCACACTCACAGCTTAGTGGCAAACTATTAGCAGATGGACTTATGCCTCTCTAAGTAATTCTTTATCTGTGTTACTGTATTTGCGATGCTGAGATCAGATACCTGAATAGTTAGCTAGCTAGCTTTGCTTAACTTAGCTGCTGACAGCTAAACAGGGCTGTAGAGTGCTCAAATTTGTGATTAAAATGTGTAAAGATGTAAAACATGTAAAGATAAATATTAAAACACCGGTCATTCTTTGCACTTTCATTCAAGTTTGCTGAAAGACCTTGAATAAAATACAAGTTCTCCGGCATCTAACAGTGTTCTGACTAGCTCTTATGTTAGTTTTAGCATTAGCTCATCTGAGCGGGCAGCTTTAATTGGCAAACCTTGTTCTTTATTAGACATGAAAACTTATCACTTTAATGTTGAGTGACTAAACGATTTCCCTTCTTTGATTAATGTAAACCTTCTTCTTTGCTTGTTTAAATTAAATTGCCCTACACGCATATTCTGCCAGTTCTCAAACATGCATGTCTGCACAAAGCATCTTGTAAAGCCAGTTTATTTCTGAATGAAAAATGCTTCAAATTTACTCCTCTGTGTGCATTAAAAATTTTCTTTATAGTACTGAACCTTTTAGTCTAGTACAGGTGTTACAGATGCTACCAGGCAGATTGAACTGAAGGTTTGACAGAGGCAGCAACAATACCTAAAGGAGGTGGGACTTTCTCAGAAATGTACAAACGGTCAACTGTTTACAATAACATTTTTTTAAACTAGTCCTAGATGTTCCACTCTGTTATATCAACACTGGCCTCCAATCTGTGGAATCAACAAGAGACTACTTTGACAGAATGTCAAAATCTCCTCTTCCAGTATCTTCAGCAAGCAGCTAAACAGCACCGAGGCTAAAAAGGTAACAGCACCTCTTACTCATTTTACTTTTACAAGCTTCAAAAATTAAAAGACACTGAAGAAAACATATTTTGATGTTCACTGTGTAACAGCTGCATGGCCTTCAAAATACACAGGGACACATTATCAGAATTCTTTTAGGAAAAAGATGCTATCCAATAACAAAGTAACCCAAGCTGTACTGAATAACTGTAATCATTACTCTTCAATAAATGTTCTCACTGTTTACACAGGTAAGACTGTAGTGTTTGTCGCTACGGGCACCGATTGTGAGTAAAAAAAACAGAGTACATTATATTGTACTGGTTGATTTCACTTTAAATACATTACATTTACTTACACACAAAATTAAAGCACATTAAAACATGCATCAAAGGGATACAAAAATACAAGCAGTCGGGCTTGTCGTAATAGAAACATCTGCCTTTCTGCTTTGCTGTCAAATGAAAAGCATGATCTATTCCTGTAGAACAGCAGTGTCATTCAGATGGCAGGTGATACTGAAATATTTTAGTGAAGACACAGTGTGTTAGACCAGTATTAATACAGGAGGAAAACTGTGTATTAGCTGTTATGAAATCAGCTCTTTAAATGATTTCTACTAGACTGGACGGCTCAGTCATGTTTTTAACAAGTCCAGCATTACCCTGGCCAAAACTCCTGTCAAAACCGTTAAATGAGGCACTTAAAAGCATCACATTCGTTTTTCACAGCAGATTTTCCTTTTTAACCATAAAAGAGACATCATTTCACATAACATTTTAGGTATTTTTTATGTCTACTCAGATGGCCCGAAAGGGCAGTGGCTATTAATAAATCACGCCAAGGCTAGACACACTGCATTAGTGCTAAATGCTGCCAAATGAAGAGAGGTGTATCCTTTGACACTGATGTCATCAGAAAAAAAAACACAGTTTCAGCACCATGATAGCATTAAACACTCAACTATGGGCTTCAATCCATTCAGTTAGTCAGGGCTCTTATCTACACTAAACACTTTGATCTCTCTCTTTGTGCTGTGTGGGCCTGGCTCCAAAAATCGCCCAGTACAATTGATGAGGGTAGTCCAGGTTTACGGCCTTAGTGGATGATGGCAAAGAGCTTGGAA